TCTCACTTAATCCGCAGAACAGCTTTCCAACCGTGACAGAATTGAAGTCCAGAGAAGGTTAAGTAACTTGCTCCAAGTCACACTGAGATGCAAAACCCAGGCCGATCCCAGAGCTGCACCTCAACCCTATTTCACATGACCCCTAAGCCTCAGGCTAGGGACCACAGAGCTCTGAGTTTCAGGGGCACGGGGGCGGGGGCGCCCTCAACACACACAGCTCATCCTGGCTCTCCCAGGCTCCATCCCCACACCCCATGTCCCCTCTGCTCCTACAGATCAAAACACAGCTGCAAGCCCAGACAGTGGCCGCGATGGCTGTGGGACACCAGCACAATCACCAGGTGAGGCCTGCCACTCTCAGAGCTCCCTGGGGGCACGGATTGGGCATGCTCCCAGCCTGGGCACGGGTGGCCAGTGACCCCGTGTCCTCTCCCCACAGACTGTCCTGGGTGCCTTGGAGACCATCTGGCGGCAGCAAGGGCTGCTGGGGCTGTGGCAGGGCGTTGGTGGGGCTGTGCCCCGAGTCATGGTGGGCTCAGCTGCCCAGCTGGCCACCTTCACCTCTGCCAAGGCCTGGGTGCAGAAGCAACAGGTGAGGAGCTGGGGACACCTGTGCCTACCCACAGAGACACACGGGACTGAGGGGGACCACCTGCCTCCTTCCACACGGGGAAGACCAGGGGGTGGCAACAGATGGGGCCCTGCCTCTGCCCTCAGAGTCGTGACTCTGACCCTTGGTACCAGCAGGAGTGGGGGGTTAGCAGTGAACCCCAAAGCTGAGAAGGAGCTCAGGGTGGCAGGGCTGGGGGGTGGCTGGAGGGGCCCCATCTGCTCCCCTTTCTGCAGCCCTTTTAGCCCCTGTGTGGTAGGAGGCCGGGAGGGCACCACGTGGGTGGGTAGAGGGCAGATGCAGGGGTCCCCACCTATGCCATCCCCACAGTGGCTCCCGGAGGACAGCTGGCTGGTGGCCCTGGCGGGAGGCATGATTAGCAGCATAGCCGTGGTTGTCGCCATGACCCCCTTCGATGTGGTCAGCACACGGCTATACAATCAGCCGGTGGACAGAGCTGGCAGGGTGAGCAGGAGTGGGTCTAGGGGAGGATGTGGGGAGCTGGGAGCACCCCCCCAACCCACACACACACACACTCTCACACACACACACTCACACACTCTCACACATGCACAGCCAGAGACATGCACACACAGGCCATGCCTGCAAACACATTAACTGGGCTTGTTTGCTGAGCTCCCATGTCCCAAGCACAGGCTAAGCACTTTCACATCTGGATTTTATTCCATCCTTAAAATCACATTCATCTTCCTGAGGAGGAAACTGAGGCTCAGACAGATCAAGTGACTTGCACGAGTTCCCCCAGCTGGTAAGTGGGGGAGCCAGAACTGGAATCCAGGCCTGATCCTACAGCCTTCTCATGGCACCGCAGCCTCACACATGTGCCCAATACAGACGTGCTGTCCACAGGGTGTGTGGGGGTGAAACTGACCCATGTGCCGAGATGTGGTGCCAGCCAGGGCCTCACGGCCCCTGTAGTAACACTCACCCCACGTGTTTCCCCAGGGCCAGCTCTATGGGGGCCTCACCGACTGCATGGTGAAGATCTGGCGGCAAGAGGGACCCCTGGCGCTCTACAAGGGCCTGGGCCCCGCCTACCTGCGCCTGGGTCCCCATACTATCCTCAGCATGCTCTTCTGGGACGAGCTTCGGAAACTGGCTAGGCGGGCCCAGCACCAGGGCACCTAGACGGCGGCCCTCACTCCCACATCCTGACATGGCTCGGCACTTGGCCGGAAGTGAGGGCCTGCTCCAGCACAACTGGCTGTCCCAGGGCGGGCATGGGCCCGGGCCTTGCCAGAGGCCCCAGGAGAGTGTGAACAGCTCTGGTCCACCCAGCCCCTTGGCCCACCCAGGGCCAGAGCGTCCACTCCAAGTTACCACCCATTCTATCTTCCAGACAGTTCTCTTCCTTCTCTGTACAGTGTACTGGGTCACCGCATCCCAGAGCCTTACTCAGTTATAGCAACTGCTGCAGGCATGCACACGGCATAGGCCCAGTAACTTACACACATCGGCTCACTTAGGCCTCAGACAGCAGCGCGAGGCCGGCACTTTTACCTCTTTTACCATCAGAAAGCCAAGGCTGAGAGTGGTGATGTGGCTTTGACCACAGCTACACAATTTTGAAGTGGTAGAGCCAAGACTGGAGCTTAGCCCTGCTCACCCCAGACCTATGCGCTTGACAAGTGTGTGACTCTGACAGACCTATGGGTCCGGACTGCTCGTAGGGGTCGCTGTGCCATGGCAAGAGCTGGGGTGCACCAGGAGGCTGTGGCATCGTCACCTGCCTTATTTGCCGGGGCATCTGTAGCAAAGAACCACATACGGGGCAACTTAGAGAATAGGAATGTATTTTCTCACGGTTCTGGAAGCTGGATGCTGGAGACCAAGCTGTCAGCAGGCTGGTTTCTTCGGAGGCTTCTGTCCGTGGCTTGCAGATGCCGCCTTCTCCCTGTGTCTGCACATGGTGGTCCCTTGATGTGCGTCTGGGTCCTGATCTCCTCCTCTTATAAGGACACAAATCATGTTGGCAGGGCCCACCCTCATGACCCCACTTTAATTTTTTTTTTTTTTTGAGATGAAGTCTCGCTCTGTCACCCAAGCTGGAGTGCAGAGGCATGATCTCAGTTCACTGCAACCTTGGCCTCCCAGGTTCAAGCAATTCTCCTGCCTCAGCCTCCCGAGTAGCTGGGACTACAGGTGCCTGCCACCACTCCCGGCTCCTTTTTTGTATCTTTAGTAGAGACGGGGTTTCGCCATGTTGGCCAGACTGGTCTCGAACTCCTGACCTCAAGTGATCCACTGGCCTCAGCCTCCCAAAGTGCTGGGATTACAGGCGTGAGCCACCTCATTTGGCCCAATTTTAACTTAATTATCTCTGTCAAGAGCCTATCTCCATATGCAGTCACATCCTGAGCTACTAGGGGGTAGGACTTCAACATGCACATTTGCAGGGGCCGCAGTTCAGCCACCATCATCTCTCTTTTTTTTTTTTTTTTTTGAGATGGAATCTCGCTCTGTTGCTCAGGCTGGAGTGCAGTGGTGCAATCTCGGCTCACCACAACCTCCACCTCCCAGGTTCAAGTGATTCTCCTGCCTCAGCCTCCCGAGTTGCTGGGACTACAGGCGTGCACCACCATGCCCAGCTAATTTTGCATTTTTAGTAGAGATGGGCTTTCACTGTGTTGGCCAGGTGCCTCTTGAACTCTTGACCTTGCTGCTCACCTCAGCCTCCCAAAGTGCTGGGATTACAGGTGTGAGCCACCAAGCCCGGCCTCAGCCAACATCATCTAAGGGCTCTCACGGAAGGCCTCCCAGCAGCCCGCACTGTGGGCATTTGCACATATCCTGACAAGCCTGAAAGGAACTCCGAGTGCCCATTGTTCAGATGAGGGTACTGAGGCCCGGGAAAGGGAAGCAATGTGGCAGGGCCAGCAGCAGACCCTGGGCCCTTTCTCTAGACTGAGCACCACTCCCCATGGGTGTGCTCTCAACGCCGCACCAACCTTCGCACTGCAGAGATGGACACCAACTCCCTGGCAGGGGCAGCACTGCTGCCAAGCAGCCCCACCTGCCCTCCCAGCCACACCCCAAGTCTGTAAGGGTTGTTCCCAGGAACACCTGCTACTGCACACTCCAAACCAATAAAGTTTTATATTTTGTTTACTTCAGCGAACCCCCTCTGTGGCCAGTCTCAGTCTCCCCCATCCCTGACCCCCACCTTCTGCTCCCTCTGCCCTTTCTGTTTGTGAAAGCAGGATGGGAGCCGTATCCACCTGTTCAGCCCCGCCCTGCTGGACCCAGGTGAGGCCCGCCACCTAGTGGACCAGGGAGGAGCATCAAGAAGTGCGGCTCCGGTCTGTGGGAGGAGAAGGCTCAGGTGGGCTCGGGCTGCGGGAGATTCCACACCGGGTCAGAGCCTGACGGAAGGCTTTGGGAAGCTGGAACCAGACCTTACAAAAAGCAGGCAGAGCTGACCTCTGGCTGTGGGGGAAGACAGCCCCAGACCTCAGGCTGAGAGGGCACCGCTGATCTCTAGCTATGGGGGGATAAAGTCCCTACTCTCAGACCCTGGGCTGAAGGAGCAGAGCCCACACTTCAGGCTGTGAGAGGAAGGACCCACACTCAAGGCTGGGCAAGACAGATGGAGCCCGGGGCTTCGAAGGGGCATTGGGTGGTCCAAGCCCTCAAGGAAGATTTCTTTCTTTCTTTTGAGACAGAGTCTTGCTCTGTTGCCCAGGCTGGAGTGCAATGGCGTGATCTCGGCTCACTGCAACCTCCACCTCCTGGGTTCAAGCCATTCTCCTGCCTCAGCCTCCAGAGTAGCTGGGATTACAGGTGCCTGCCACCATGCCTGGCTAATTTTTTGTATTTTTAGTAGAGATGGGTTCACCATATTGGTTAGGCTGGTCTCGAACTCCCAACCTCGTGATCCACCTGCCTCGGGCTCCCAAAGTGCTGGGATTGCACGTGTGAGCCCCTGCGCCTGGCCTCCCTCAAGGAAGATTTCAAGTAAAGTGGATGCCAGACTTTTAGCAGGGACAGAGACCACAGACGAGCCCAGAGACACCTGTCCCTTGGAGCTGGGACCTTGCCCTTCTGGGCCTCAAAGGGTTAACACCCTGGCTCTCCTCCCTTCCCCTCCCCTCCCCTCCCCTGGGCCTTTGACCCCTCCCAGCCTCTCTCCTTCCCTCCACTGACACCTTTGCCCAGTGACGTCAGTCTGTCCCTGCGCAGACCTGGCCGTTCCAGGGCTGCCATGTTCTCCCTGCCATCCCTCCCCTCCTGGCTCCCCGGCCTCCCCTCCCTCGAGTGGGGTTCTAGCCTCCTCCACTCCCTCCTGCAAGGTGAGCACCTCGCCCCATTCCTGCCTTGGCCCCGCCCCCTTCCAGCTCTTTGCAGTGCAGGGTGGACCCCACCCACCTGGTCTCCCGCCACCCCTGACCCTTGGCCGCCCCCTCCTCTGACCCTACGAACCAAGCCTGCCCCCCTAACACCCCTGCATGCTGCCTCGCTGCCTTGCTGCCTCCCTCCTGCCCCCTCAGGCCTGATCGGGGCCCTTGGAGTCTTGGTCCTGAACAGCCTCCTGAAAGTTTACTTCTTCGTGGGCTGTGCCAAGTGAGTTCCCACCTCATCCCCACAGGGAATGTGGCTGGGGGTACGGGGACCCCCACCAGGGGTCGAGGGTGGCAGTTCTGCACCCCTGCCCACACCCATTCTGTCCCCACAGTGACCCGCAGCGGTGGCCCGAAAAGGAGCGGCTTCGGGCCCAGTGGGCCTCGCTGGAAACAGTGCACCTGGCAGGGCTGGCCCTGTTTCTGACGGTCGTGGGGTCCCGGGTGGCTGCCCTCGTGGTGCTCGAGTTCTCCCTCCGGGCCGTGTCCACGCTGCTGTCACTGGACAAGGTGAGGCCTCTGGGAAGGCAGTGGGTGGATCACTCCCCAGCCCAGAGCCCGGACTCACCACCGGAACGTGGGCGGCAGAGCCCGGACTCACCACCAGAACGTGGGCAGCAGAGCCCAGGTCCAGCATCCCAGCCTGTTCGCTGTATTTTCTGTAAGACTGGGAACAGAGGCTGCAGGTTGCGTCCTCGGGTTTGGCTGCTGAAGCAGCAACACTCACAGGGGATACAGTCCCAGTCCCAAGAAGACAAGAGTGACAGCTCCTGTAGATCCGGCTCCCCGAATGCCAGGCCCTGCACCAAGTGCGCCGTGTGCATCATGTAATCCTCACAGCCACAGGAGTAAAGGTTTGCTCTGATTCCCCATTTCACAGATGGGGAAACTAAGGCTCAGAGAGTATGTGGCTTGTTTATGGTCAACAGGTAGAGTCAGGCTTTGGACCCAGGTCTCTGAACCACCACCCTTCAGCTAACAGATGGGCCCCAAGTACTAAGACGTGATTGGAGGCTGGGCGCGGTGGCTCACGCCTGTGATCCCAGCACTTTGGGAGGCTGAGGCGGTCAGATCACCTGAGGTTAGGATTTCAAGACAAGCCTGGCCAACATGGAGAAACCCTATCAAAACAAAAACAAAAACAAACAGATTAGCTGGGCGCGGGGGCACATGCCTGTAATCCCAGCTACTTGGGAGGCTGAGGCAGGAGAATCACTTGAACTCAGGAGGCGGAGGTTTCAGTGAGCAGAGATTGAGCTACTGCACTCCAGCCTGGGTGACAGAGCAAGACTGTCTCAAAAAAAAAAAACACGATAGAAATTAAGGTGAGAGAGATGATCCCCTAGGGCTTCATCTGACGCCGATGTGGCCCCTTCAGGAACCATCCCCAAGGTCCCTTCAGGCTCCGGCCTCCTGTGGCGGGCAGCAGCTGTAGTGAGGCAGCCCCCACATCTTGGCCCCTCTTCTGCGCTCCCCACAGGGCTCCCGGGGTGCTGCCGAGAGGCTGCAGCTTTACCTGCTTTGCCAGTACTCGCTGGGCTGCGGGCTGACCTGTGGCCTGAGCTTCCTGCAGGAGGGCGCCCCTCACCGCACGCTGAACCTGCTGCTGAGCCTTGGGCTGGCCACACTGCTGGGTCTGGGTGCCCGGCGCCTCCGCCGCCACGTCTGCTGCCTCTACGAGCTGCACAGCAGCCAGCACTACTGTGGGGTGTGCCTGGGCCTGCTGGCCGGTGCACACGGCCTCCCCCAGCTGCTGGGTCGCGCCCTGGCTGTGGCCTTTGCCGTGGGTGACCTGGCAGCTGTGGCCCTCATCAACCAGGACTTCCTGACCACCTCAGAGGCCGTGAGGTTCTGGACGCCGCTCACCATCTGCTACACGCTGCTGGTCATCTACATGCAAGGTGAGCCCTGCGGGGCCCGTCCATTCCATCCACGCACATTCCTCTGTCTGGGCCAGGCTCCGGGGAGGCCGACAGCTGTCAGTCCTCACTCTTGCCATCCTAGAGAGCCTGGTCAGGACAGAGGCTGTGTGGCAGGGAGAGCGCAGAGAAGCAGCATGCTGTGGGCACCCTGAGGGGGTAGCCTTTAGATTGGGCCTTGAAGGATGAGCGGAGATCCCTAAGAGAAGTGAGGCAGGGAAGGGAATCTTGGACAGAGAGAACCGCATGTGTCAATGCCCAGAGGGGAGAGAGGGCATGGCAGCACCAAACAAGCCACAGGAGTCAGTGTGGCTGTCACCCCAAGGGTACAGGGAAGGGGTGAGGCTGGCCAGGTTCGAAGGGGCCCGTTGGAGAGCCCTCATCAGCCAGGCAGGGAAGCCTGACGAGAGGCCGCTGTACAAATTTGTTTGTGTTTTTGTTTTGTTTTGCTTTTCTGTTTTTTTGAGACAGGGTCTTGCTTGGTGGCCCAGAGCGTGCCATTGTGCTCCAGCCTGGGCAACAAGAGCGTAACTCCCACCTCGGCCTCCCAAATTGTGGGGATTACAGACACACACCTCTGTGCCAGGCTAATTTTATTTTTTGTAGAGAAGGGGTCAGCCAGGCACAGACGCCTGTAATCTCTGCACTTTGGGAGGCTGAGACGGGCAAATCACTTGAGGTCAGGAGTTCAAGACCAGCCTACCAACATGGTAAAACTCTGCCTGTACTAAAAATACAAAATTAGCCCAGTGTGGTGGTCTGTGCCTGTAATCCAGCTACTAGGGAGGCTGAGGCACAAGAATCGCTTGAACCCAGGAGGTGGAGGTTGCAGTGAGCCAGGATCAAACCACTGCACTCCAGCCTGGGTGACAGAGAGAGATTCTGTCTCGAAAGAAAGAAAAAAAAGAAAGAAAGAAAGAGAGAAAGGAAAGAAAGGAAAGAAAGAAAGGGTCTTGGCCGGGCGTGGTGACTCATGCCTGTAATCGCAGCACTTTGGGAGGCCGAGGCAGGTGGATCACCTGAGGTCAGGAGTTCGAGACCAGCTTGGCCAATGTGGTGAAACCCCGTCTCTACTAAAAATATAAAAATTAGCCAGGTGTGGTGGCAGGTGCCTGTAATCCCAGCTACTTGGGAGGCTGAGGCAGAATTGCTTGAACCAGGGAGGTGGAGGTTGCA